ATTAATCATTCCTCTATGAAGTAAACAGAGACAGAGAAATCTCAAACCTCTGGTAAGATTTTTTAAATGAGCACTTGGTAATTAAAACATCAAGCGAAACTAAAAAATATCTTACCCTCATGTTAACATTACTCATTCCTGTAGATATTTGACTGAACCGTCCAGGACAAGAAAGGGGGTTTATATATATATATAGGATCTTACATTAGTTTTCAATATGAGATTTTATGAAACGAGTCTTAGGAGGTTTTATTTTTGCGAGCCTTGGAGAGCAAAAATTAAAACTTTGAGACAAGTTTCATAAAAGCTCATATGAATGAAAACAAATTTAAGATACTTTTTTTATCACATAACTCAGAAAACTTACATTTTGACAGGTTTTAAAGCCAAAATGTAGAGGGCTAAATCAAACGGAGACAGACATTTTGTTGCGCCATTCACAATTTATGACGTCATCTCATTGTCCATATTATGACGGCACAATCGATTTCTGACTGGCACAGCCAATGAAAAACGCTCCAGGGTATATTACACTTATAGTGACATATTTAAAATTGTTACACCTCAAATGAATTTCTAGCTATTTGATTGGTTGGGAGAAAATTAAACAAAAATCTCTGTCACACTCCGAAAATACATTGGTTATAAGGGGCGCGGGCGATATTGCCATGAGACAGTGAAAAATATCACATGCGCGAAAAATGTGCGTTCCCCGCTTCGTTTCCTCACCGTGATGGTCACAAGAACGTTTGACGGCAACAGCCACTTTTATCAAGCGCCGGTGCGATAGCGATTGTAAACAGCAGACTATCAACAAACAAGATGACATTATCGAGGTTTTCTGCCGTTTCTGAGCTACAAATACTTTTGGTGTAACAAAATAGATATGACATTCATTAGCAGGTGACAGTGAATATTGTCAACTCTCAAAAACCCATTGTCACCCTCGGCTTCGCCTTGGGTGACAATGATTTTCTCAGGTTGACAATATTCACTGTCACCTGCTAATGATAGTCCGAGTTTTATCAACTTTTTTCATATCGGTCTGTCGTCGATTAACGTCAGAACTCCGGCCCTCTATAATATGCGGGAAATATGCGACCCGCTCCCGGAGCGCACTTCAAACTGATATTTTAGAAACAAATCGTCACTTTCACACACATGTCGCACATGTATCGAAAGATCTATTCATTATGCAGAGATGAACATACATAACATGCCACAAACAACAAATACATTCACTAAGAGCATATTTTTTCAAACTTACTCTGTTTTACTCTAGTTTTTTGATAGCCCCGCCTTCTAATGCCACGTGACTAAAATCTCGCCGGCCTATGTCATACCGTTGGGAAATACCTTCGGTAACGCGAGATCTCGTCAAGTCATGTGACATTGCTCATGGCCTAATTTCCAGTAAAACATGGGTTGGTATAGAAAAAGTTGGAAAATACTTTTCGCAATGATCTTTGAAACATGTTATTGATACCACCTAGTGCATAATGAATAGATCTTTCGATCCATGTGCGACATGTGTGTGAAAGTGACGATTTGTTTCTAAAATATCAGTTTGAAGTGCGCTCCGGGCGCGGGTCGCATATTTCCCGCATATTATAGAGGGCCAGAGTTCTGACGTTAATCGACGACAAACCGATATGAAAAAAGTCGATAAAACGTCAGAATAATTCGGACTACTGCTAATGAATGTCATATTTATATAATATTACATGGGCAAATTCACTGGATAACAGGCCGATTATGTGATAAAAGAAACTTCTAACCCAATTTCACGTGTGTGACATCACAATGGGATAACAGCAAACGTGATGTCATGAAATCAAGAACACTCCGATGCCAGATTGTAAGAATGGTCCATGGAAGACCACTGGCCAGACTGCGCTATGTATACAGCCATGTCCAAAATGAAATTAATTAAGGGGAGGTTACTCTTTATTAAAGAAAACAACAGTGCAGTGGGACAGGTCACCTTGAGTAAAAACACATTGGTGACATACTAAGGTAACAGATAATTATCTAATACGTACTTACACAAAACGCTTGTACAGCTCAAAAGGACAAATATCAAGTGTTCAAATAAATACAAACCGGATTTAATACCATTAAAATCTGAATTGTGATTGGTCCATTTTGATATCCTGGATTATATAGACACACAACAACAAGAAATGTATTTTTTCAATGGCTCTGACATTCTCTGACGTACGGTGAATACCTTACTGCACTCCAGTATGATAGACGTATATATATTTACAGGTCATTAAGTGTGTCAGTCAAAGTGTGTGTAGATATGTTTTATATGTAATGTTTTGCATCCATTAAGTAGAAGTGTGTGACAAGAAACAAAACGTATCCCCGGTCATAATGAATAACCTTTACCTACATATACACACTGTATACAGAAGAATACAAAGTACTTGCATGTTCCTTGTTTTTCTTTGTAAAGGCCAAACAAAAAATGTGTTAGTTTCCTGTTACATGCATAACAAATTTATAAATGTATAGATATTTTATTTTTTATTTTTCAGTAAGTTTTATATAGGGGAGTGATCTTGACTTGAAAATTACTTCCTTGAAAATTGCCAAAAATAGTTAAGGATAGGCACAATAAAATAGGGTAGGTAGGGTGACTGTAAACAAACAAATACTTTATTTGGCCGGTAAACAGCCTAAAGCATTTCATACACTATGTAGTCATGTAATGGTACATCTAGCTACATTTATCTATCATAATTATCCGATAAGGAAAAAAAGACCCTCCCATTTTTTGCTGCAAGAAAGCACATGCTTAAATTAGATGCCTCAATATAAGATACCGCCTCCCCAAACTGTGTCCCATGCATCCTCAGCAAACTGAATTTCCTAGAATTTCCCCCCAACAGAGCTGTATGATGTTAATTGCTTTCAAAAGTCACATAAACATTAGGAAATAGTATTTTTTTCTAAATGCTAAAAACAATTGTATCAAGATCATTTCTATATGATAGTGACAAATATACCAGTCTTTTATGTGTATAGTATACAAGTCATTTAAACCTCTTCCTTTCCTGATTTGGACCTTCTTGTAATCTAGACTTATTTTATCTGGAACATATTAGCATTTGAATCAGAGCCTTAATTAATTCTCATGAAAAAAAATCCTGTAAGTTAATTAAGCATTGTTATGTTAAACTGAATTATCCAGGAGTCGTAATCGGGATGAACAAGGACACATTTCATGGTACATTTTTAGCATCTGATAGACCTGATCAGTTACTTTACCAAGAACTGTATATGAATCGGAGATTGCAATCAGGAAGCCAATGGAGCGATTTTCCTCATTCAGATTCAGTTAACAGCATCTTAACTGCAGTGGGCAGTTTTAAAAGCAGTTTTATTAATAATAATTGGTCTCTTAATCGAGGTGGCCTCTTAATACAGGTAAATCAATAGAGGTCTCTAAATACAGATTGTCTCTTATAATTCATTAAAGTGGCCTCTTAATACTGGTGGTATCTAAATCAGTAGAGGTCTGAGGCTTAATACAGGTTGTCTCTTAATTGTAATCCATACATGCAGTGGTCTCTTAATAGAGGTTGTCGTTAAACAGGTGATCCCTTAATACAAGCTGTCTCTTATAATTTATACATGTGGTCTCTTAATAGAGGTTGTCGTTTAATACAGGTGATCCCTTAATACAAGTTGAATCTTATAATTTATACATGTGGTCTCTTAATGGAGGTTGTCATAACACAGGTGATCCCTTAATACAAGCTGTCTCTTATAATTTATACATGTGGTCTCTTAATGGAGGTTGTCATTTAATACAGGTGATCTCTTAATACAAGCTGTCTCTTATAATTTATACATGTGGTCTCTGAATGGAGGTTGTTGTTTAATACAGGTGATCCCTTAATATAAGTTATCACTTATTACAGGTCGTCTTTCAAGTAGGCTTGACTGTTTTCCTTTAAACATCTGGTGAACAGGTAAAAATATAGCAGTAAATTGATCAGCACATCAGGTGCATGAACATCTCATTAAGGCGTAATACAAACACAGAGGTATCAATATCTACCTGTGTCAGTGCATTATCACATCCTTAATGACCATCTCCAAAGTTTTAACGGTCATGATCATTTGGGGGCCGATCATTTCTAGGCATAACAATAGACAGTAATATCTACCTAACTATCCCTGACTGGGCATTACATGAACAACCTGTATCTTGAAGCTTTCAGTACAATGTTAGCTATATCAAAAAGCTGTCATCCGAGTCCAAAGATATCAATTTCAAACGAGAACAGCCTGAGAGGTCGGTGAAGGCCAGGCCCTGTAGAAATACAGACTCATATAGATGGCAGTCTATTATGTGAGGTGGTGACAGAGAGTTGGGAAAATAATTGAAAATAGCGGTATGCAGGTGTCGTTAACAATGGTTAGTTTTGTTACACATACAAAAGTGTTAAACCAAAGAGACTATCATTAGAACTAAAGATAACCTGCATTAAAAAAGATCATTTTTTTTTACTTTTTAACCCTTTCACCCCTACATATATATAACTTAAAGTTAACTTTACCATGCATTGATCTGGTTGAGTCCATTATGGTCTACAGTGGTGAAAGGGTTAACTTTACCTTGACTTTGACTTTGTTTTACCAAATAACAATGCAAGTCCCATTCTCCGTTTTTTTGTAAAATGTAGATAACAAAAAAAAAAGATTATTTCGTACAGACAAAAATAAAGAACGAAATGCTTACAGACGAAAATAAAGAATGAAATGCTTATTTTGCATCATTATCAAATCCTTAATTTTTATGCGTTTTCATATCAAATCTTTAAAAAAAAAAAAAACAGTATTCCTTTGCTTAATGGTACATATCCTATAATATTGTGAAAACATGGTGGGTGGAAAAGAAAAAAAAAAAAAACCCAGCCTGCTTGTAATTTATTTGTTCTGTCGCAGCATAATAATAACAAAGATCAGAACTAAAGCTGACTCACGATTTTGTCGGTAATGGAATCCGGCGTTGCAAACGAAAATTCCTGAGAGAGCTATGTAGGTGATCAAAGTGTTTGAATCTCCTCCGAACTGTCCACTGAAAGTCTCCATGTGTGACTTGAATGGTATACCTTGGGGGGAAAAAACAGCATTTTATTATTCACATGGATATGTAACACCACAGGGAGATGTCACATGCAATATAACAGAAGATTTAGATGTACATTCAACAAGGCGGCCGGGGTCCGATTCCCCGATCGGACATGAACAGTTATGTGGTCTCCTGTCCAACCACCTGGGTTTTCTCTGGGTACTCCCGTTTCCTCCCACAATAAGACCTGCACACGCTAACATCTGGGCCAACAAGAGTGATTTATATAAGTTGAAATAACTTCTTTCATAATTGTTGTAAAATAAATAAAGTTTATATTACTTTATATTAACTATATTGATGTCTACTGCTATATATTTTCTGTTTTATAGCATATGTGACATGTCTCTGGGTATATAAGCAGGGTATCAGACAGGTATTGGATAAATCACTTGATTTCAAACTTAACATTACTGTTTATGTTCAGATCATGTGTCATCAAGACACTTGAATATTTTTCCTCCAGTTTTTGGGCATAATAAAACAATTCACAAGCTCTATGAAATTTAACTCTTGCTGAACAGTTCTGGTTTAACCCTTTCACCCCTATGTAACTTTATTACACTCTACCATACATGTACATTGATCTGGATAAGTCCAGACCGGTCTACAGTGGAGGGGTTAATAAATTTATGATTTGATGCCAACTCACAATGTAGGATTGAATATTTTGATGTGGGCATTGTGCCTCTCAGCAGAGATGATCTTAAGGAAGACCCGCGTGTTTGGGATCCAGCAGTTCTTTCTAATGGTTGTGAACCCCTGTGGCGGAGCATGGACAGCACTGAATTCTAACCCTCCTGGAACGCAAAAAACATAGTAAAAATTCAAAATAACAATAAACTACATATATATATATATGTTAACATCACAAACTCTGCAACATGCTCTGCAGTACATTGATAAGTTTAAGTGCATGTTTGTGTTTGTTGACTGGGCAAACACATTAAGTTCTGAGACATGTACACCAGAGTCTAAAAATACATACACAGACTGATGATGTTATCTAGTGACGCCCTTCTGTGATGTTTCCCCTTGTATGTTTGTTAATTAATTAAAGGTAAAATATCTAACAGCAAATGGAGCTCTGAAAATTCACAGTCCATAATGTATAATTACTCTTTCAGAAGGCCCAGAGGGAGGGCCGACAAATTACATGCATCTTTGACTTAAAGCATTTATACTGGGAGTAGGGATTTTTAAAGGATATATCAAGCATTTGTTGGTACATTTTGTATTTCTACTGAACTGTAATAGATGCATGTATATGGGTGGGCTTATTATCAGGCATGGGCTTATTGCTGGATTAATACTCAGGCTGCCTATTTACAAATTAATACCTTTCCCCTGTATATAAATGTTTAAAAAATACTGCATATACTGTATACATCAACAGCAAGCTTGCCCACCTTTTAATTTTCTTTTCACAACATCAGCATTTTCGATAGTTTTAAAAGAATCTATTCACAGCAATATATTCTTTCTGGGGATTTTTTCTCTATCTTTCTGTTATTATCACGTCACTTACGTACAGACAAATTCATAACTGTCACATTAAGTGTACAACATTTTTAATCCACCAGTCACACATTACGAGATTTTCAATCTTATTTCAGTTTATTGAATTATATTAAATAAATCTTTTTGATTAATGTGTTTCAATCTTATTTGTGTTTAATAAAATAAGAAGACAAATTTGGAAAAATGTTATTTTAAGTTAATGAAGCAAATTTGCTACATCTATGACTATTAATATCATAACATTCATGATTTTCTTAAATCAGTTTTGATAGATTCTTCATCACTTTAAAATGTAACAAAGTTAGCATAGATATGCATTGATTTGTTTATTCTAAGTTTTTCTTCAATTACAATGCATTTTTAATGTGTACATATGAGTGCAAGTCTGTGTACAGACCCCCAGACATGAACTACCCACAAACATTTCAGAGGGGGGCACTGAAAATTGAAACATCCGGAGAAAAAAAGAAGAGATATATCAATAACTGCCGAGCTTTAATTTCATTTTAGGGGCCAAGGCTTTTAACACTTTCAATGCATTCAATTTGGATCAGTCTGGTAACTTTTAGTGTTTGTCTGATAACATGGGAGGTTAAATAAAAGTATCAATATGTTCCACACAATTCCTATCAGTGAAACGAGCAGTAGTGTTTGTTGTTACGACTTGTTTTACTCTCCATATTTGACACAAATAAGGGGATTTCCAATCTTGTTCTGCATCATTGACATGCTTACATGCTTATCAAGTTGTGGTCTACATGCAAGTGTTCTGCAGATACCGGTGACCTTCTAAAGTGTCAAATAAAGATTGTAGAACAATGAAAATGACTTAGACTAGATATTAATTAACTTGACAGGATATTGATTAACTTGAAAGGTAGTCTTTTTAGATTTGCTGTTTCTTTAAGATTCAATAACAGGTCAATAACGAAAGTGTAGATGAAAATGATGAGCAAATAAAATGACTTGGTAGAACCACTCGACTCGAGTGCTTTTTTCATGGAGTTTGTACAACTTGAATTTATGTTAATACACTACATGTAAGTATGGCGTAATGGACTATTTTGGTGTGGTGTCATTTAGAATAGCTACAGTAAATTTACATTCTCATAATTTGTCAGAGTGATATTTGAAATAGATACGGGCACACATTACTCTTGCTGGTAATGATTAAAATAGATAACATACTATTCATGTGGGTGATCACTTGCCATCGTTATATTCAACTGTGACCGTGATATTTTAAAACTGAAACAATGCTATTATAGTGTTGGATAATAAGGGTAACCAATACCATTTTGTGAAGGTGGTTATAACACTAGTTATGGTGATAAAGTATTGGTGAGGTGGTGATTATTACACTCAATATAGTAATGTATTTTAATACAGTATTTGTGAGAGAAATTAAATTATTACATTAAACATGGTAATATTACACTAGATATGGTAATGCTGTATTTGTGAGGGTGATTATTACACTAGATCCGGTAGTGTAGTATTTATGAGGGTGATTATGAGAAATTAAATTATTACATTAACCATGGTAATATTACACTAGATATCGTAATGCTGTATTTGTGAGGGTAATTATTACCCTAGATCCGATAATGTAGTATATTACAGTAAATTCATTATTATTATACTAGATCCAGTAAAATAGTATTTGTGAGGGTGATTATTACACATGCATAGTTTTTTGAGAGGGGGCGATTGTTACACTTATAACTATGATACTGTATTATTTATGAGGGTGATTATTACACTAGATCCGGTAGTGTAGTATTTATGAGGGTGATTATTACACTTGGTATGGTAATGTAGTATGTGGTGAGGGTGATTAGTACAGTAAATACATTATTATTACACTAGATCCGGTAGTGTAGTATTTATGAGGGAGATTATTTCACTTGGTACGGTAATGTAGTATGTGGTGTAATATAGTATTTGTAAGGGTGATTATTACACTAGATCCGATAATGTAGTATATTACAGTAAATTCATTATTATTATACTAGATCCAGTAAAATAGTATTTGTGAGGGTGATTATTACACATGCATAGTTTTTTGAGAGGGGGCGATTGTTACACTTATAACTATGATACTGTATTATTTATGAGGGTGATTATTACAGTAAATCCATTATTATTACACTAGATATGGAATTGTAGTATTTATGAGGGTGATTATTACAGTATATACATTATTATTACACTAGATATGGAATTGTAGTATTCATGAGGGTGATTGTTACAGTAAATACATTATTATTACACTAGATATGGAGTTGTAGTATTTATGAGGGTGATTATTACACTAACTATGATACTGTATTATTTATGAGGGTGATTATTACAGTAAATCCATTATTATTACACTAGATATGGAATTGTAGTATTTATGAGAGTGATTATTAAAGTAAATACATTATTATTACACTAGATATTGAATTGTAGTATTTATGAGGGTGATTATTACACTTGGTATGGTAATGGAGTATGTGGTGAGGGTGATTAGTACAGTAAATACATTATTATTCCACTAGATCCGGTAGTGTAGTATTTATGAGGATGATTATTACACTTTGTACGGTAGTGTAGTATTTATGAGGGCGATTATTACACTTGGTACGGTAATGTAGTATGTGGTGAGGGTCATTATTACAGTAAATACATTATTATTACACTAGATATGGAGTTGTAGTATTTATGAGGGTGATTATTACACTTGGTATGGTAATGTAGTATGTGGGGAGGGTGATTAGTACAGTAAATACATTATTATTCCACTAGATCCGGTAGTGTAGTATTTATGAGGATGATTATTACACTTTGTACGGTAGTGTAGTATTTATGAGGGCGATTATTACACTTGGTACGGTAATGTAGTATGTGGTGTAATATAGTATTTGTAAGGGTGATTATTACACATGCATAGTTTTTTGAGAGGGGGCGATTGTTACACTAACTATGATACTATATTATTTATAAGGGTGATTAGAACAGTAAATACATTATTATTACACTAGATCCGGTAGCGTAGTATTTATGAGGGTGATTATTACACTTGGTATGGTAATGTAGTATGTGGTGAGGGTGATTATTACAGTAAAGACATTATTATTACACTAGATCCGGTAGTGTAGTATTTATGAGGATGATTATTACACTTTGTACGGTAGTGTAGTATTTATGAGGGTGATTATTTCACTAACTATGATACTGTATTATTTATGAGGGTGATTAGAACAGTAAATACATTATTATTACACTAGATCCGGTAGCGTAGTATTTATGAGGGTGATTATTACACTTGGTACGGTAATGTAGTATGTGGTGAGGGTGGTAATTAGATACAATATGGTATATGTATGGTAACCTCAAACTTAAATGCTATGGTATCTCTGATTTTGTACAGTGATATGATGATCAGATTTCATGGGACTGTGGCAAACGACTGACCTTATATATATATCCTCAAGATATAGAAGGTCACACTCATGTGGTCACTCATGAATTTGAAGGGTTAAGGCCAAAACGAAAAAAAATGTTTCTCGTAATATATACATATACACCAACCCCAAATATTTGTCCTACTAAAATACAATTTTAGGTTTTGGTAAATCCCATCAGCTGATTTGATTTTATGAACTATTTTAACATTTACATTTCTGCTTCAAGTCCCTATATATATATAAGGTATAATACAGGTAGAATCTGTGTTAATAGTGCTATGAATACAACACAAATATATTGTATTGGTAATCTTCTCCTCAAGCCTTTGCAACATGAGATCTAGAATATCAATATATATTTAGCGAACATTTAGCTGACAATATTCCGTCTTTTCGTATTGCAGAGTTATCTGCTCTTGTGAGCAGGTATTGATTGTTATGTCATTTGTTTGTGAGAGTAACGTCATCAATTTTTGAGAAAAAACAACATAATTTTCTCACACAAACCAATGACGTAACAATCAGTACCTGCTCACAAGAGAAGATAACTCTGCAATATGCAAAGACGGAATATTGGTTTTGTAAAAATGCAAGATATTCTTTACACTAACAATAAAGATGCTTCAGATTGCAAATATTTGGGAATACTTCTACATGTATGTACTCAACACCTAAGAACTGTTTTAAGTACCATGATCATGAGTAAGGAATCATTAAGAAGGAAGGTTATTTATCCAATATACACACATTTTACTGAAACCACAGCTTTATGGAATCTGTATGTTAAACTGACGATGATTGATTGATTGGTTTTACGTCCGCTTCAC